TTATCTGAGTGTAGAGAGGACACACATGCAAATAAGAGGCAGAACACAGCTCTAGGAAACATGTGAAAACAATTAACAAACGTGGGTGGGGGAGAAAACTCTGAACAGTTCCTAGCTGCAGGATCAGCACCTTGGGGAGCTCTGCGGCAGTCCTGACTTCTGTGCTTTGTTATATGATGAAAACAGGTTTGAATAATATTTCACTGATATTTAGTAAGATCTTTCTTGTATTAGTGATCCCACACCTGCTTTACCTCGGGGAGCTTGGGTGCCTGTCTGCTGTCCCCGTAGATCTGGTTCTGACGGGCCTTCACCTGCCGCACAAGGAGATCTGTCTCCTCAGCTGTAAAACGCTCACTCTTTCCAGTTGGTAGGTCCGCCATCTAACTAGCTCTCTGCCATGCACTCCAATCACGCCTCTTTTAAAGGGAATGAGAGGTGACACTCTGATTGGCTTATTGAATGATACGCCCAAAACACACCCATGACTAATTCACAGAGTAAGTCCAACCCTTTTAGACTCTCCGCGCTGTCTAACTAGCAAGTGACTGGGACACACCCATGCGCTGCATGCCTGGCGCTTTGCGTTTTAGATCATCTAAATAGGGCCCGAAGTCTGGTACAACATGTTTCCCCTAATATTTATGTAATACTGTATTTATATAGTGTTCCTGCGCTTCCTATTTTACAACCAAAAAGTCAGCAGAACACTTACTTTTCTCTGAGTACCTTAGAGTCAAGTGTAGAAATAGCAGAGATGGTGAGCTTTCGACACAAGTCAGCAGCTGCTGACAGTTTAGCCTCCTGGATTTTTTAAACCTGTTGTTGAACATCTTTTGCTTGATTTTTCATAGATTTTGTATTTCCTCACAGGAGACGTGTCTAACAGGCCACGGAAAGCAGATGCACCTGACTAAAGGACAAGTAGGACAAGAGTCAATAAATGATGTTACAGTGACACAGTGTTTTATCTTTTTAAATGGTTGTAAAAAGCCTGAATCGTCTCTCCGTAACAGTATTTTTAATGGACTGGTTATTTTGATATTACATTTCAGGCTGTTGACATGCACTGTTTGTACATATTCCTATGAAAAGTAATGCACCAACATTTGTACATATCCTATGTAATAATGAGGCAGTAATTTGTGTATATCCTATGTATTTCGGAAGGCTGCAATCATGTGACCAATGTGCTGACAGCAGTGAAGAAGGACGTGGTCCTGAGTGGTATAGTTAGGAGGCAGGGTGGGGTGATGGATGGGTCATAAAACACAGGGCTTTGAATCATTTCAAGGTATGTCGTCACCTTGTTTCTTTTCCCTCAACCTAACCTCCCTAACCTAATGTTAATTATGTAACTTTAAGTTAACGACAAATGTTGGGTGCTAATTTACAGGATATCAAACAAACCTTTGTGTGTGCATTTTCGTAGGATATCATGTACGTTTTTTATGATTTAAAAAGTTTAGCATCAGCAAATGTCAGCAGTGCATTTACATTTTTAAATACGATGCTCAGCTATTGTTGTTATGCTTTTCTGAGGCCATTTCCTGGTTTGATCTTGTGTTTCTCCAACACAGATGACAGGACATTGACACTCCACACATTTTGGTTTCTTGAAAATAAGACCAGATTCTAGTGCCAGTTCCTCCAAATCTTAAGACCTTGTGGGCAATGTAAAAAAACAAAAATAAAAAAAACAAAACAAGAATTTCTCCCCCTTACCATGCAGGGAGAAGGCCATTAAGGCAGACTAAGGGAAAGTGGCTAAAACAAAAACAAAAAACAAAAAAAATGAAAGCTGTTTGCAAGATTTGTACATTTAAGAACTTAATTAGGACTCTGTTTAACCAGACTGAAAGGGTTTGTCACATAATAGAAATGATCAAAAGTATGTTGTTTATTACATATTTATGGCAGCTGTGACCATGCGTAACTGGCAAAGGAAAATCTCTGCATATTTCTATGCACAAATTGAAAATGCATGTCAAAACAGGTGGATGGAAATGCATGTAATGCCTATTGAAGTGGACTGATGAAACAATTTAAAATAGTCACTGTTCACAAAATTTGAAAGGGTTCACATGGTTCATTGTCCTCTTTTGTCTTCTTTGGTTTAGTCACACCATCAGTGTCTATTTTCAAAGTGAGCAGTTCATTAGAGCAAAACAGTTGTTTCATCCACATTAACCACAGTTTTATCTGCTGTCTGCTCACACGACACGTCAGCTGCTGCAGTTTTTAAATACACTCACTGTGGTCAACATGATGCAGTTACAACAGTGTGACCTGAAGACACACTGAGTTTAGAGACACATTTATATTTGGTTTCCCCTAACATACTAAACCACGGATATCTGTTTCCCACACCCCCTGCTATATGTTGGGCCCAGTCTTCATACAGACTGACTATATTTTTAAACCCAAACAGAGTGCTTGAAACACGTTCAACTCGTGGTAACTTTGAGATATGAACTCTTTCTTCTTCTTCTGTCTCACTTAATCCCTTTCGGTTATATCAAAGCAGAATGTGCTTCAATCAAGTTAAAAGTTTAGATCCAATAATACACATGCCTTGCATTGCATGTGCACATTACAGAAAATTGACTGTACAGTATAACTAACATGTTCTCATCCCAAGTCGTCACATATTTTTGCTTGTTCTGGGATGCTGCTACCAAAGTTGGAGTGTCAACAAAAGCAAATGATTAGGTGCAGAGAAAAACATCATGGTTTGGCTCTACATTCATACGGGAAGCAAACACCTGGCTCCCCTGTGAAAGTCCGTCTTTTTTTTGACCCATCCACCACCCCTCAATTAACTCTGTCTGGCTGTGTATCATACCAACACACGTGCGTTATGAACTCATGCCGTCCATCCATGTACCATACTGCCACTACTGGTGCCATCTGGCTGACTAGCAGCGAAACACCATAAAAGGTTCCAGCCAGCCACATTACACACTGACGCTGCCCAACGACGTATCATACCACTGCCAAAGGTAGCTTTTGGCGTCAGTGTCTGACGACACAATCAATGCAAAGCAGTGATTTTTGATGACTTAGGAATCAGACCAGCCTGGCATTGCACTGGTAATGTTGCCATGTGCAGGGTACAGTGACAACCTTTTCTCTAGCTATTATGGTTATATGTGACTTTGCTGTCCCAGTTATGTTGTGGTGACAAACTTAATCACTTCCTGCATTATGTTACCAGGAGACATTTTTTGAGTAAAGCAAGTGCTAAATTTCTGCACCACATGCTGCATCCTTAGTTCTGTGTGCTTAGGTTCAAGCAACAAAAGCATTTCAGTTAAGGTTAATTACAGACTGTAAATCTGTTGTGTCTTGTGTAAGAAGTAATTTTTGACTTGTGCCGTATGTAAGGAAGACCATTTTCTTTCCCTAACCTGACTCTAGTGCTGTGAATGCCACAACATAACGATGACATCAAGCTTCAGCTGCTACACACAGATATTGTTTTACCACACTGGATACTGTATGGGAAACTGATGAGGCACATTTGACATTTTGCAACTTTGCAGATACCTTAACCGAAAATGTCTCCTTATTACGTTAATAAACAACAAAATTCTGGCAGCATTACATTTCCTTAAACATGTACATTATCTGTTGTTTAAAATGAGTTCCTGGAAGAAAAGGTTGATCTGTGACTCTATAAGATCCTGTAGAAAATGTATGTATATGAAATTGATGGATTTGTGTTAAACAGATGAATTCTTAATATATTCTGCATGCCTTACCGCCACCCAGTTATGAATATATAAATAAAATCATTACCTTTTGAACAAGATGTCAGTTCCAAACTTTTCCTCAAACCTCACCGAAATGCCTCACAGACATTGAAGAACCAAATTATGACAGATAATAAATGTCATTTGCCCTTTTTTTTAATTCAAGGGAATGTTAAGAGAATTTCAGTGTGACCACCTTTCCTTGTTTCGTGACTGCTGTCTGGATGCAATTTTAGTTACCTGAATAAAAAAGGCACTGTCTATTTTGGTGGTCAAGTTTTTGGCTTGGTTTGGACACCTTTACTGTGCCAGTTTGATGATTCATGCACCTTAATTTTAACAGTGACCCAAATTGTGTTTTCATTTTTTTAATCTTTTACAGAACAATGTTATTGCTCTTCATGGGTGCTATTATCTGCCATGTGCCTTTTTAGCCTCTTATTCATGTATTTTTTGTGCATATGTGATATTTTGTGATATTATCTGTCCTTGTTTGTACTTGTATATAAGACTTTTATTCTACTGCATGCCCATCTTACCAGGACTCCCCTGGTGAAGAGATTTTGCAGATTGATGTGACTTTTCTGGTTAAATGAAGGTTGAATAAATAACGTTTCCCCAGTGGGTCAGTGAGTCACCTAAAAACTGGTTTTATTGCATGTCTGTTCTTACTGCCTGCATTGTTACTCCGGGCACTATTTGCTTATCTCAAAGTATTGTTAATTAGTTGTGAAATTGCAGTGCAGAGTCCAAAACAAATTTCCCCATGAGGACAAATGAAGTTAACACATTTCCCATTCACATTATAAAGATCCTTAGTGATGAGGTGGGGATGGCTATCAGACACTTAGAAATGCACATCTACTTCAATTTCTCTACGCTGACCAATTATTGTAAATGCTAAATAACAACAACACCAAACATACAATATGTATATAATATTGAAATACTGTTGATATTGTAATATTACTTATTGGGATATAACATGATGTCTTTATGTGTTAAAACAAAGACACCTGATAGTACTGACTTTGCCAATATCAATATTTGCATATTAATTCTGTTTGGGTCCTGTGTCTAATGTAGTTTCACACTTATTTTTTCTAAAAGTACTGAATAACACTGTTTGTGTTTCAACACACATTTCAGGATACAAGTGAAGAGAAAAAAAAACAGAGAGAGACAGAGAGCAGCAGCTTTTGATGAAAGCAAAAAGAAGCAAAGAGCAGCTTATGACAGAAAACAAGAAAATGAAGGAGGAGTTACAGAAAAAAGAGAAAGAAGTGAAAATTATGAGACAGGCTATACTGAGTGAACTGAAGAAGGAAGAGAGCCAGAAAGATAAACTCAGTGCTGACCAAATGGAGAAGACAGAGAGATGGGAGAAGGATAATATACTGTGACCAGCTGCTGTCACAGTTTATGATCTATCTGGCAATAAAATCATAAACTCTCAGATAGTCTAAAGTTTCATCTCTACACACAACATGCAGCTTTGCGTCACGGTAAGCTGACTTTTGACTCACAATTTTATAAGTTCTTATGGTAACCAAATAATCAGACTTTCATCTGATACTTTCCTGAGGCTCGTGTTTTGTTATTACAGTTTGGTTTTACTGCTTTTCACCTGAAAATTATATGTGTAGCACTGCAACAGCAATCATGCGTGGAAGTGAAACCAGACAGAAATCTTAGATCATGGAGGCTGCTACGAATTCTACAACTGAATCAATATGTGAACAATCAGAATAAACAGATATCACCTGTTTCAGACAAATGTGATGCTGCTTCAATGTGATTAAAGTTAGTACTCCATGTACAGACTGTTAACACCCAGAATTCCTCCCTCACAACAAAGCTGAAACTAAAGTGACCTGTCTGAGTCTCAGCAGCCTGATTTGTTTCTTTGGTTCACAGATGAAAATGCGTCTGTTCAGCTGGTTTGGATTTTGACTGTTTGTCCTCTGCAGCCTCCCAGTAACCACAGGTAACCTGACTCACTGCATTCATACATGCTCAGAAAATGTTTCCTAGCAGGAAACACAACGACGTGTGGAAAATAATCAGAATCCTAAACCTACCCCTTCAAAATCAATGAACAAATGTAAGCGATAGCCTCCTCACTACAAAACACACCACCATATAAAAATAACAATCTACTATTTTAGTTTTACTGCCAATAAATCTTTTAATATCGAAACCAAATTATTTTATCAAATGGTTAATAATCAAACATCTCTCGCTCACAAAATGCCCTTCAGATCGTCAGAGGCAGTGTCCAAGGAGGCAGTGGGCAGGTTGAGAGGTAGAGTATGGTTGAATTTGTCTGAGGGTTAAGGATTAAGTAGTTAACCTGAGGCAGGCGAATATGAGAAACCTGAAAAGCTTAAAGCTTAACTTTTTGTAGGTCAAAGACCAGGAAGACCACAGCTACATCTGAGCAGCTCAAAGGGACAATAGAACAAAACCCATCCAAACCTGCGCCAGGGATCAAACACTTACAGCAGCACTTTGTCGCCCACTCTGATTTTTTTTATGCACATCACTGCCATTCTCTTTGGAGCAAAGATGTCCAGAATGTATAACCTCTTGCAATCTCCTCTTTCAGCCACTTTTCTCTCTATTCTCCTTTCATGCTGATTTTGTTCCCCCTCCCCCAGCTCACAGGTGTGTCTCATTTATTTACTTCATGTCCTGACAGAGTTAAACAGGGCTACTCTGCACTTTTTCCTTTCTCCTTTTCTGCTCCATGCCAGTTACTATGACTGTGATTGACAGCTAACTTAGCCATGACTGTTGACAAATTAATGCTGATATGAGTTAACCAACTGCTCTTTAAAACAGTTTAACTGCTTTTTGGATATTAGATACATATTTAATTGGCCTAAAAGGCACAAAGACACATGAACTAGATCACTGAACTTAACACGAGTCTGTGTTATCAATCATTGTGCATTAATAAGATTAAAAAATTGGTCTGCCTCACCACATATCAAGAGGACAAAATCATTTAAAAGAGTGTTCCCCCAGCGTGGACATGGATTACAACAGTTTTGCTCCAGCAAGGCAGAGCAGCAGCAGGCCTACATGCAAATCCCAGAAAAACTCCACAAATTGCACTTTCTGCAAAATCCACTTGAGGGCCCCAAAGAGCAAAATTGGTGCAAGCTCACCTGTGACTGTTCTGGGGTCCTAAAGGGGACATTTGTGGGTTTAATGAACAAAGCAGAGGGGTTACATGGATCTGTCTATATATTAAGCACATGTCCACACTGCCCACGTAAAGCCCACAGTGGGCCTCCATGGACATGCTTAGAAACTCTCCACTGTGTATCAGCACCCTGAAATGTGCATGTGCCTGTTTGGTCAGGCACAACAAGGTTATAAACTGAGATTACCTGTTTAAGTAAAGGTTAAATAAAGACAAAGAAATAGTTGTTGTGACCTTACACAGGATCCAATTCAAAATGTATCTCGGCTTTAAATGAAAAACATATTTAAATCAAATGTGTTGAATGCCTGTGACCAACATACTGAAACTGTGAGTGCACACTGACGATTTCATCCTTTAGCAGCTACTTTGTTCCTCTCTTTACAGGGCAGTCGAACCTGATTGGCTCACCTCAACCAATCGTAGCCCTGGCTGGTGATGATGTCATTCTATCATGTCACCTTGATCCTCCCACCAGTGCCAGCTCCAGGACAGTGGAGTGGACCAGACCTGGGTTATACCCAGAGTACGTCCATGTTCACCAAGATGGACGACTGGTGCATCAGAGTCAGAATCCGCTGTATAATTACCGCACAGTGCTGTTTGTGGATCAGCTGATCAACGGAAACGTCTCCCTGAAACTCCTCCTGCTTCCTTCCCTCATTACGGAAAGAAGCTTTCATCCAGCTTAATGTCGGTAAGTCAGACTTTGTGAGTTTTGGAAGATATGGAGATAAGTGTCAGTGTGACCTCTATACTGTCAGCAGCAGAGTGACTGTGGAGAAGAGACACAGCAACAGCTTCACCTGTAGAGTCCATCAGAGGAACATCAACCAGACCACAGAGACACACATCCAGGTTCCAGGTAGAAATCACTGATACATGTATGATGTGATCACTGTCTCAGATTTTTACTTATATATATTTATTTTATTATTTCAGATGATCTCTTTGTGGCCCCGTGTAGTTCTGCAGCCTGTATCAGCATCAGTTTGGTTGCTTGCTTCATTTGTGTTGCTGCAGTTGGTTTTGCTGCGTGGAAATGGAGACAGAACAAAATCAGTAAGTTACAAATGTATTTATGCTACTGTCTGTCTATTTGGCTAAAGTAATAGGTAAATAGGTCAAAGGTTAAAAATAGGTTAAAAATAATAAAATGTGAAAAAAATATGTTTAAAATGTAAAAGAATCTGTCTTATCTATTAAATGTGCACTATAAAGTGTAATTGTTGTAATTGTAGTTTTATTGTCACATTGTCTTTTTCCACGCACAATCAGCACTGCATCAAACAAATAGACGCACACTTAAACTTCAACAGTATATTGTCTCTGTTTGCTAACAGAAACCAAGATGACCTCACCAGGAGAAGCACAGCGGCTCATGGCAGAGGAAGAACATAAAAACATGGTGGATGCACTGATGAAACAGATGGAGGGACTGAAGGAGCAGATAGATAAACTGAATAGTCAAAAGATAAAGATGGAGGAACTGGTTGAGGACAGTGAGACAAAGCTTCAGTCAGTGGAGAGAGATTTAAGAGAGAAGGATGAAGATAAAGGATTCATCAGTTCACCAGGATTCATAAAGCTCAAAGAAATAATTTCTCAGAATAAATGGAGCCTGAATGACAGACTGATGGAACTTGAGACACTGGTGCTGGACACTGAGAAACTGTTGGAGATGACAGAAGGTGTGATTGTTAGAACAACAGAAAAGTCAGAGAACCACATGGACAAAACATAACATGGTGTTAAACAGCAGGTAAAGAGTGTTTTATTTTTAACACTCATGTTTAGGATGCAAGAGTGGAAACACAACATTAGGGGGCAGCACTGACCAATCAATAGCCTTTCACTTCAGGCTTACAAGGATTATTTGCATGAGAAAGGTTTCAAAATGTCCTCCTGGTGTCATATAATGTCACGGCATTGTACATATTTTTTTGTTCTTTGTCCTTATTCTTAAAAAGACAACACTCCTACTGCACTGTTTACATGGCAAATGAAAATGAATAGCCATGCATACTCGTGATCAACGTGCCCTGACATGTCGTTGATCACGTCAAAATATGGAACGGCTGGAGACGTTTGTGCCATTCTGCTTCAAAATAGGACTTTTTCAAAATTTCCTACTGGTAGCAAACTTGTCACACCATGCAAACACAACCTCCCTCCTTCATTCCTCAAACCGCCCTCTTGAAAAAGGTTGGTGTTGCGATATTTGCCCATATGCAAAAACCTGTTCATATCCAAATCTTTCGTGATGTTTAAAAGTAGGTGTGTTTCTACTTCTTCTGACCAGACATGTGGCTTTTCCTTTGGGCATGTATCTCTACGACAGTCTTGCAAACTGTTGGCGAGTTGGTTTGTGTGTAACCCACAGAGCCAACTGTAAACAGACAAGAGGCCGAGTGTCTCAAACTACAGTATGAACCCCAGCTGAGACGCATTTTCCTAACGTGCTGTATAATGTCCAGAGAATGCTCCTAAAACCTGAATAATACCAACATATCCCACATTTCTTATACAGAACACGCTTCATTCGGAAAAAGGCCTATTTCAAAATATCCAAACAGAATATGATGTTTACATGACTGCATCAAATTGAGATTGTCATGTTCAGAGCCTGATTTATGGTCCTGCGTTAAATCAACGACGTACCGATGTACCTCCCAAAAAATGGAACTACACGTCGAGGCGGCGCAGACCCAGCGCAGACCGAGAGGGCTGTGATTGGTTTGCTTGGTAGCAACGCATTTCCGGTTCCGTATTTCCAGATTGCGCCATCCCCGCCATCTTTAAACATCTTCTGTTGCGATGTAGATGTTGCAGTATTAAGGCCCATTTATGCTCAACGTTCAATACGGATACGGACGGAGCCGTCTGTCCGTGCTCCGCGTTCATTTCTCTGTGACCGGAAAAGCCGGAAGCTAAACAAAGAATCAACTAGAGACGACGATAACCGTTCATGAAAGGAACGCAGCCTCCTACCGCTCTGGCGATGAATTGCACCGCAACGAAATGGAGTGACGGAGAAGTTCGAAGGGTTCACGACGGCGTCATGGCAACGACGTAGGTACGTCGTAGGTACACCACAGGACCATAAATCAGGCTTAACAGTGAAATATTAGTGTGTATGTAAACATAGTCAGTGACCATCCAGCTTACGACTAGGTCCATGGTGCTGTCTGGCAGTCATAAAAGCATCTGAGGCACTCTGACTGCAAGTACAAAATCCTTTATTATACAAGGATAACCAGTGCGTTCTGACTTTATAAGTTGCACAAGCGTTAATTAAAACTCAGGATGTCATGACCTGTTACAACTACTATCCACTTAAAGAAAGCACTTGCAACACATGACCGTTAAAATGACAGAAAAAAACATACAGATGTACTATAGCACTCACACAATACAAGAAAATAAATAAAATCACAAAAGAAATTGCAGAGGGTCAAATGTTTACGTATCTGCCCTCGGTCTCACCTCTGTCTTGATGAACGCTCCTTTCAGCCATCCTTGTGCCAAGAAGGGGTAAAAAGGTCACTTGAGACCCCTCCAGGTCCCGGATGTCGACTAACATCTTAAAAGAATTCCGCTTGCGATACAAATGGACTCAGATTAACGGCCAGACCAGGAGCTGACCCTGCTTTTAAAGTTCACCACATCCTCTCTTACCAAGTCTCTTGTAACCAACTTGCAATGTCTGTTGGAAGTAAACTATACATTTCATCCATGTTCTAACATTGTAAATGTAAATAATCCTTGTTTGTTATCTGAATGATATATTCATTTTAATCCTGTAGGCCAAAGTATCAGCGAATTATGAGTTCTGGTTTTTAATCCCTCATTTAACATGGAGCCATCCTGTCATCTTATGACGATAGTTAAGGAAAGTTCTCTTAAGGAATCCCATATTATATTTAGAGTTAAAATATAGTTGGATTGATTAATCAGCTTGTTTTAATGAATATGTGCCTTCTCATTTGTTTTATTGCAACCGCTCCTCCACCACTGTGTTAAAGCTGGTTTCATTCTGCTGAAATCCGCCTGATTCACTGCTGCTAAGAAAGTAGGCAAAGAATTTCCCTCACCTGGTGCAGCCGCTGTGTTGTGGTAAGAGTTGATGTCGAATATGAGATTTAATTATTCTGACCTTAATTTAGGTTTCCTTAGGTAAATGATTTTGCGCATCCCTGCGTTCCCAATTTATCTATAGTCACATACTCTCTCTCACTATCGCCAAACTAAATAACTTACCTCTTGTGTTACCTCTTGTCTCAGTCCATTTATACATACTGTTGATTTTGTGTCATCTCATATTATTATCATTTGCTATTCATTTACTCAGTTGTTACATGTTTAGCTTAAATAAATCTTCATTTATCACCAAGTCGTTGTCTGTGTATATTTCTTTTGAGCAGGAACTAAGATCACTGTGTGGAGAATTCATAACCCAGATACTGAGATTGATTTATTATTGATAAGTGTGCTGATGAATTAATAATTGGTTTCCGGAGTTATTCATTTGATTACGAGTGCAAACATTCTCTAAAAGGTATTGCTCCTACAACAGTAAAAATAAAGTAAGTGCTGGACACATGTAACAAGCTCACACATGTGATGGCAGCAAAGAAATATATAATATAAAACAGAAAAATAGGGAGGACAGCAAAGGAGAGACTTCACTATGGGTTACACATGAAGTGAACATGGTGTCGAGTCTCTTCTTCCTCTAATGACTGGGCCCCACAGGGAGCATCAGCGTGAGACAATGTTTATGTCAGTGGTTTTATACGTTAATGGAAACTAATATAAATGTGTCTCTGAACTCAGTGTGTGTACCTCAGGTCAAACTGCTGTAACTGCATCGTGTTGTTAGTTGACCACAATGAGTGTATTTAAAAACTGCAGCAGCGTCTTCAGACGTGTGAGCAGATAGCAGTTAAAACATTGTGGTTTAACTGTTGCTCTCTAATACGCTGCTCACTTTAAAAATAGACCCTGTTGATGTGAATAAACTCGAGACCCCAGATAAAGGCCCAGGAGATGATGAACCACATGCTGTGAACAGTTTGTTCCATTGTGACAATGGTTTCCATCCACTTGTTCTTGTACTCATTTGTCTTTGTGAACAAATGCTTAAAAAAAGTCATATTTCCATCTTATTTTCCACATGAGCATCTCTCGTGTGAAATTTGTCTGGTGCTCTTTAATGACCTCATCTCTTCCTCTGCAGTGGTTGTTTACTGACTGTTAGTCTTGATGAGCTCAACTTCTAATATTCCCGTTAACAGTAGTGGATGGAAAACGCATCGGAATTTGCTTTTTTCAGTTTGTTTGTTTGTTTACCCTCTCTGACCCTGCCTTGTTCACCTCATTTTTTGTTTCCTACATGGTCTTGAAATCCTCTGTGGGTGTATATTTTACGCTGTGCTTCCTCTTCTTCGTTGGATTTCTCCCTCTGTGGTTGTGATGCTGCCACAGAAAGATTCAGAGGATCTGACACTGAAACCTGACTTTCACCTCTGACCTTTTTTAAAGAACTGAGACATTTTCTGCTCAGTCTGGTGTCTGGATGTGAGGTCCTCTTTTCACATTGTATTAAAAGCTGAGTGTAGCTTCTGCTTTATGATTATAGTTATTATTCACGTGTGAGAGATCAAATCACAAAAAAGACTACTATAGACTGTTCTTTATACCGTACATGTCCCATTACTGCATTATAAACTTTGGTTATATTCATTACTGCTGTTTTTATGGTTTTAAAGCCTTTAAGAGATTCTAAAAGTTTGTAAAATATATCACTGATGATTTTTTTGATTAAATGACAGTAATGATGACTGAAAGAAAACAAACTGTAATTTTATATAACAAAATAATACATTTGTACAGACATTTTCACTTCTTTTTTTGCAAATTTAAAAAAATATTAAGAAATTAAAAAAGGTTTTGAGTTACTGTAACATCACTGAGTGTGACTGTTGTTCATTAACATACAGAAGTCGAGCTCTGAACAGACCATCTCCACAGTCCTTCATGCAGATGACAGTTGCCTGTAAAACAAACAGGATAAAGAAAAAAAAATGCAAATTAGTTGATCATTTATTTGGCCTCATCTTTGTTGAGATAACACAGGCTGTACGTAGGACCAGCTGATGCCACCATTCTCACTTTGACAGTGCTAACATGTTGCTGTCTCATGGGTTTTTAGGATTTGTTGAATTCCTGTTACAGGCCAGTGAGTAATCAAGGGACTAAACACAACTCCTTCACCTCTTGTGCCTTACTTTGTGCCGTTTAACTAGCAGAAGTGGGAGGACACACCCTAAATGCATGGGTTGCTTTTGAGACAATGGGCCCTTGGGCACAGGTATGCAAAGGGCCCCACCACCTCTCCTATACAGAAGCACGGCACACAGACTTTGTGGTGTCTCTGTGGTCATTTTGAGCGTCTGCCTGGGTGGTACGTGTTAGGTCTTGTTTATACGACAACAATTTCAACTGAAAACGGTAAACTTTAGTTGCGTTTTGGCCGATCGTTTACACGACAGCGGCGTTTTGGGTGCCTGAAAACGCAGCGTCTTGAAAAAGGGTTGCAGAGCGCAACTTTTTGGAAACGGCAGTGTCTCCATTGTCATGTAAACGTGCAATATGCAGTTCCTCTGAAAATGGAGACTTTTCGCACATGCGCATTACGGTTCCAGTCACTAGGCATGCCGACCGTCGCAACAACAATGCCGAGCTCTGTTTGTGCTGCTCACCCTGTTGATTTGAAGTGAAGTGTAGATCTGTTACTGTAGCAACTCCACCTCGTCGTCCATCCAGACAAAGTTATCTGTGCGTGCTTTCGCCATTGTGTCTTCTTTGGTTTGGTTTGTAATCACCGCATTGTAGAGGAAGGCGCTTCTGCGCAGGCGCATGGCGTCATGCCGTAGTGTTGCTTTGCAAATTTACACTGCCACCCATTGACCTGGCGTGCATACTGCAGCGTTTCCAGTAGATTTTGCGGCTCCGTGTGAACGGGTATCGTTTCAATAACGTTGTCATAAAAACACAGAAGTTTTTTAAAACGCAAACTGCAGACTTTTCCATTTTTACTGAAATCGTTGTCATCTAAACAGGGCCTTAATTTGACCTCTGGGCCTGTGCCTGGCCCGTTAAGTAATCCATGCGTAAATGCACCTGTGCAGTGCACTTCAGGCAATACGCTTTAAATAGAGCCCATAATACTGATCAGCCCCTTCAGGATGTTGCGCTGCTGCGATAGTAACAATTAAACCATATCCAACCAATCAACAAGAATTCTGCCCCACCTTGCAATTTGGGTCCACTCATCACAACTTTCCACACTTCATGGAAGGTATTGTTCACAATTAACTTTTGATGGGAAGGTGGTATAGGTAAGCTCTAACCCCCCGTTTTCGGCCCTTCCACGTCAACAGAGCCCTCACCCGACCTTCTAGGATGTCGGGAAGTGGGTGAACTCAACACTCGAGGAGTCAGGTCCACAAACGGGAGGGTATGTTTGCAAATAACTTTTGATAGAAAGGTCGTAGGGTCAGGGTACATTACCATGTGTTTGTAACTTAGTCAAGTGCAATTAGATAAACTGTTAGAGGAAACAGATTGTGTATCAGCGTCAGTCTTACCTGTAGTGGACTGAAGAATAGACGACACTCTCATCTGGTGAGCATGGCTCTGTACATCCTCCAGACATGACACGCTCTGGTTGAGAAACAAAAGGATGTTAGCCTCGTTAAAAACTGCTGGTTGATTTTACTGATTAATTGCTGAGCACTGAAACAACATAGGATTGGAAATGAACTCTCATTTTGACACAACTTCTTATGATGCATGACTGTAAGTTAAGAAAATCAAATGCTTCAGGCGTGACACATCACACAGCTGTAGGTTATTTTAATCTGTTTGGTGTCTTCATGTCAAATAGATTTTTTTTAACTTTCAATTTCAAAGTGTCAGACCTGACAGCCTTTTGTCCTGTAGACGATTATATTACAGCTGCTGAGGGGCCCTTTGTTTCTCACTGTGGTTTTCTTGTGTGGTGTAAAACTGAGAGGATCAAATTATCACCTGCAACTGTACGCAGCCCTCATGAATGTAGGTGTAGTAAAAAAGTGGGCTCCAATGCATCACCTCTCTACACTAATGCATGGAGAGTGGACTGGCAGCTGGAGAGGTGCCGGCTCAGCTCCTGGGCACCGCCAAGGCGCCCGTAACATAGCAGTGAACCCCCAATTGCTCAGGGTGCCTGACCAAGGCAGTCCCCTTACTCTGACCCTCCTCCATTTAATGCATGTATAGGTCCTGTTTGTGCTTGTGTGTGTATTTCAGGCCTGTGTGTGTGTATGACAATAGAGTGAAAAACAAAGAATTTCCCCTCGAGGATTGATAAAGTATATCTCCTTCATTTATACATTTTATACACATGATATCAACGTGTCCAGAGTGTTGTAGTGCATGAGTATTTGTCATCTAGAGCAGGAGGGAATGGTGGATGGAGTGACACCAAGATGAAATGAGACCAACAAACAACAAAGAGGTAACAAAGCACAACGTACCTTTCTTCTTCTTTTTGATTTCCACAACAGCATATGTCACAAGGTCTGGATCACCTGCACTCCCACCACCTGACACCGAAACATAAAAACAGACAGTTATCACATGGTGTTTTCGTTTTCAGGTGATCTGATCATAATTGAAGGCTTGAATGTGTCCTGCGTCCATTTTGTTGTACCTTTCTCCTTCCTTTGTTTTCTGACAGCAGAGTATGTCACATGCTGATCAACGACACTGTCCTCTCTTGAGACTGAATCATAAAAAAAGGGAAAACAGACATTAAACTTTAACAATCTGACCTCAAACATCAGGACAAATTAAATTCTAAGCTTTATTTTTCTCTATAAAGAACGTGTTAAAATAATCATACAAAATTCCAGATGCCAGAATATACAGTAAATAAATATAAATAAAAAGACGACATCACATAACAGCAGGTCTATAAAAATGGATGTTAAGAAGTGATTTTAAAAAAGATGTCACTAATTCTGTGAGCCTTATCCCCCCATAGGCAAGTTGTTCTGAAGTCGAGGGGCCCTGACGGCAAATGTACAAACACCTTCAGATTTCAGCCTCGACTTTCGAACAGCCAGAAGGGCCCCACCCAAGGCTCTAAGGCTGTGCTATGTAGCTTGGGTCCAGACTCAGACGAGCTTTAAAAACTGAACAGTAAAATCTTACAATCAATCAATAAATTGGGAATTTATAGGTGAACTTTTGAGATGGTTATCAGCTTTGTCGCTTGTAGAAACTTACAGAGACGATAAGAAACGATCGTGTCCCTGACAAGGAATTACAACAGTTACCACAAGGTCACTGACTATGGAAAAAGAAGGCTAATTATTGGTCTACTTTCCTTCATAACTTCCATGATGACAATAGTTCATCAGTACAGTGGTGTGTGTTTGGTGTTTTCACCTGTATGATCTTCAGGTGAGTGCGATCCTGGTGTTGGTTTTCCAGGTGAAAAACAGACCAGAACTGAAGGACATAGAAGAAAAGATGTTGTCAATAGAAACTAGAAAATTAGAGGAAATTGAGTGTTTTAGAAATGATACTTAAGTTAACAAGGTGCTGCATGGATGATGTTTTCCATTCACTTCTGTTATTGACATTCTGGGATGCCACTACCAAAGCCAGGACGTCTACAAAAACACATGGTTAGGTTTAGAAAGTTTAGTTTGGCTCTACGTTCGTACGGGAAGGGAACACCGGCCTCCCAGGTGAAAGTCTTTTTGTTTGACCCATCCACCACCCATCCTGCCCTGTAGGCACTTTACTGCTCCTTCTATTACGTTATTACCTGCAGCATTTTAACCTGACGCAGATCCAGTGGTGTATCGTACTACCGCGGCAGGTACTGTCAGGCCGAAAGGCTCTGTATGGCACATTGTAAACCAAAGCTGCCCAGCAGTGGATCATACTGCCGCCAAAGGTAGCTTTTGGCGTCAGGAGTCACTGACAAAGCAGCGATGTTTGGGATTTGGCGACTTTGGAGTGAGAACGGGCTGGCCAATGTGGAAGTTAGTGGCGCCCTGGCTCCCTCGTCACCAAGCCAATGGGATTTTTCCATTGGATTTTGGATTGTTAAAATATCTTTGGGGCAAACAAGGGTTTATGATACTTTATGACATTCTGTGTCTCACTGAACCACTTGTAAGCAACCGCGTTTTGAGCAACACATAAAAGCCTTCAAATTTCCAGAGTGGGGTATTTACTGACGTTGCAGGAAAAGACATGGAAATCACTCACGCTTGTGTTACGCACAGACATTATTTCAGACATCTAACCAAAAACCCTCTCAAGACAACCCCTGACTTTGCGTCAAGGGAACCTGAAGTTCAAAACTGCAAACTCATTCCTGCAGCACTGCGACAAGGCGTATAGCAGAGGTGTAGCAGCAGGCATCAGTATAAAGTCATTTACTGAAGTGAATATGTAAATGTAATTTCTGGGAGACTGTGTTGCCTTACTTTTGCGCATTTTACAGAGTAGTAGTCCCATCACCAACAGCAGCAGCAGCAGAGCCAACACTGAAACACTGACAATGATCCACAGCAGGGGGGGCAGATCAGAGGAGGGACTGTAGGAAGGAGGAGTTTCTTTGTGGGGTACTGGAAGGAAGATATCAGACATACTTTCAACACCTGTCTTTAACCTGGGAAAAGACAACTCAAACACACATACATGCAAAAGAAGAATCACCTTCAGTTTGATTTGAGACAGTCAGCCAGCTCTCTGGTGATTCAGCTCCAGCGATGCTGCACTTGTAGAGTCCTTCATCAGATTTGGAAACATTTTGGATGATCATGTCCTTTTCATACCAGGTCCCCAGTTTGGAACCATCTTTGTAGAAATCAGAAATGTGTTTCGACTGAGAATCTTTTTTACTGCAATGAAGAATCACATCGTCTCCCTCCACCACAGGATGGGCAGGAACCTCCAGGATCACAGAACTATCTGGGCAATGAGATCAAGCATTGTTTGTGTTTATTAGACAACATCAGTCATGTAATATACCTGCACAGGGACAACTTGGTGCACTTCTGTGTTGATACAATGTGCACAGCGTATTGCTGCATGTAACAGTAACTGTTATCAATCATAAATATTTAATGTGTGCAATATGTGATGGGTGCATCTTTGCTTTTTTTTGGACACACATTTTTTTACACTGTAAATTAAAACAAATGACTGTTTTTCAATGTTGATTGTGCTCTGAATCATCCCAGTTTGAGTCATCCTCCTCTACTGTATGCCACTCAGAAATAGCTTTAGGCCTGACATCAATATAACACAATCAAAATACAAATATTATAGTTCTGAGTGTGCGGCTCTTCTCCTAACACTAGAAGTTGAGAGAAAGCCTGGACTACTAAAGTTCTACCCATGCTGTCTCTATTATTTAGGACAGACACTGTACAGATTGAGCCCTATTTCAATCCCAAATTGGTTTCTCGTGACTAGTTCTAGAATCGAGCCAATTTAGTCTCAAGCCAGTTGTAGTTTGACGTGCCGTCTGACGTCACAACACTGGATCAATTGCTTGATCGGTAACTATCTCATTCCTTGGTCTGATCACCGACAAGTCTGCATTCAGCTCCAGCCAGGCTGAGGGTGTAATTTCCACTGGGGACTTTCCCGTCTGTGTCCTCCCCACTTTCAAAACCCTTTTTATAAACCACAAAGATCATGCTTACACTGCTACTGAATGACCAGCCATCAGAATCTAGCAGAGAATGTGCACTGAGCTGCAGATTTTGCGCTGATATGCTCCAAAAAATGCCACAGAGGAGCAGCATGTTTTGCATGTTTAGTACACTGGCAGAATTTAGCATGATGACCAACTCCATTATTTCTCTAATGGTGTTTTTGTCACCACAATCCCTACATATATGAAGAAAGGCAGGGGATGCTATTCAAATCACTGTTTTTTTCTGGAGGAGAAGCCCAGACCCTCATTTTATTGTGTCACCCACTTCTCAAACCAAAGTTACACCCTTGCAGCCAAGAGACATGAAACTTTGAAAGCAAACTTTATCACAAAATTTTAAAAAGGAGACACTTACAACTGTTTGCCTTTTAAAAAAGTTAGGAGCAAAGATGGTTAAACAAAATGTGTGCAATTCTTAACACTATCTCCCTAACTATGTCCCTTGACTTGCATCAGAGTGTTACAATGTTGAAGTGTAGACGTTGAGTTAACCTCACTGTGTCAATGTGACGAAACATTTAAAAACTCTCGATTCGTTATTTGCTAAACATACCAGTGATGGTGATGTTGACAACACTGCTTGAGTTCCCGTCTCCATCTTCACACCAGTATTCTCCACTGTGTGCTTTAAAGGCAGGATAAATGGTGCTGGATGGTGCCGATGAGTTCCAGTTGTAAGAATCGGTTGGACTTCTTCTGTTGAGCCTCCTCATCACTTTCCATTCAGTCAACCCTCTGAACTCCTCACAGTTTACACTGAGTTTCTCATACTCAAAGAACTGCAGTCTGTCTGGACGAACATGAGGAAACGCTGCACCTGAGACAGAGACACAACAAGTGATCAATTTAAATACAAATTCAGCATTTATGAAACCAAGATAAATCCTTATACAATGGTATTAAAAAAAAGTTAAGTTACTTCTAGCAGCTTGAGGAGGAGCAGTGTAAGAGTTCTGCTAGAACGTACGGACTTTATTTATTCTCGGTCCCTAAACATTTTTTAAACTAATATGTTGCTAAGCTACAAACAGTAGTAGGCAGGCACATATTAGCAGTAAAATAATAATCAAGAACGTCACATGGCCGGCACAAACTGAGTGTTAGGGACATTAGCCAGACAGCTAATTAATAAAATCCACCTTACCAGCTTTCTGAGCAAAGTAACTGTGGTTAACTTGTGCAAGCAGCAGCACTAACACATCCATCCCTGCAGACACAAATGAAGAGAGCTGTACCTCACACACAATGTAGATGTTTGTCTACTGACTTTAAAAAGAAACAAGAGTAATAGAGTAAGAAAATACTCAGTACTCACACAGTCTGACGCAGAGAGCTGTGACCTCCATGATGTCTCGCTGCTGACTGTCTGCACATCAGAAATACAGCTGAGACTTGATGTAGGTCAGAACCTCCTCTTCCTGTTTGAATTGTGCATCTGTAAATATCTATGTGAGGCAGAGCTGCTATAGTGGAGGTGACAGCCTCATTGGTTTGAGCCCAAAAATGACAACAAGTGTGCTTGACACAGATAAAAGCTGAGTGATGAACCTTTAGGGCCTCATCATGTTCGAAACACATAAATAAAATTAGCAGATTTGGCGATTTCTCCTTTTAATTCACTCATTAACCATAATCATTTTCTGTCCATTATAATGGATGGAGAATGTGGAGGTGAGTAACCACCTTTTCATGAATTGTTAACCACATCACTGAAAACAAGAGGCTGCTTTAAAATATGTTGCATATATATATTTTGCATTGTATTTGTCATCATGACTCAAAATATCCCCAATTTCTGAAGTATCTCCATTCATTTTCCATTGAATGAATATCTCTGAGTAAAAGCTATCAATCTTTCATGTGGTATCTTAACATGTGTAAGTAATGTTTACTTTAAACACAGTTATTTCCTTAAACAATAACACATGTGGATTAAAATGTACCTTGTGTTTCATTCTTGCCTCATGGTTGGCCTGCTTGTCAAAAAGGGGGCGTGGCTTCACTGCAGTCCACTTTAAATGATGTAGAACACTGTGATTGGCTCATAGACATCCAATCAAATACGACTGTGCATTTGGGTGGCGTCAGGTAAGAGTGGTCATAGATCTAGACCTCCTAGAATGGTTATGTTCATTGGAATGAGTGGAGGATCTGAACGTGTTAGAGATATAGAAAAAGGTGTTTCACTATCACAGCTGTCAGTGTGAGTCAGTGCCGTCCTCAGAGCTACCAGAGTCACAAGTTATGTGTAACACAAAAAGCATAAAGCCACTGTCTAGTTGGAAATATTGCTGGCTTAGTAAGTGCTGTAAGAAACAATCATTGGATAGACGATATGTGTATGACAAGAACTTTCCTCCCATTCTAGGTTATGATATCAGTTATAATATCAGGAAGTGGAAAGTCATAATTCATCCAGCCACTAGAGGTCTTTGCCAGTCAAATGTAAACACATGTCAGCCTCTGAACAATGACTGAAGGTGTCGGCTCTTTTTTCAAGGGGGAAGACAGAATTTATTTCAAAAACAAACAGGGAATGTTTTCTCAAACTCAAGACTTGTATTTCTTTCCACAGTTGGCACAGATTTAGTGTCTTGCTCAAGAACCAACTTTTTTCATTTGTATTATATCTACTATCTACTTTATATCGTTCAAGATAGATTATCAGGGTGTTTTCTTGCCAGATTGATTTGCAGCTCACAGAAAAATAGACCACACACCGAAATTAGCGCTGCAGATCACGAGCGGGCTGGGGCGCTCCGCCCCATGCTGTTTCCAGAGTCAGCAGCCCAATCAATTAACACTGACGTCAAAAGAAAGGGGGCAGCACTACATGGAAAATATGCATGCTTAGTGGTGCCTCGTGTCCAGTGAGAACTGGCTTGACTTGTGAAATACCAACACTTTCGGCGTTGGACAGTGGCGCACCAAGGTTTTACCGCAGCAGGTGATGCATCAGACAGAGGCACTTTTTGATGCGACTACCGTAGTATAAAGTGTGAGACAGTGCACAAAGGGTGGGTGGGAATTAGACTGTGTGCATTTAACAACCAGAAACTGTACAGTTCCTGTGAAAACAGAAGCTTTTTTGAAAAGACACGTTACATGTAACACGTTTAAATTGACAAACTGTCCCTGGGCGTCTAAAACTGAGCTTGGTATCTAGGGTGTTTGACATGTAGGGCCAAGTGTTGATGAGTTGGGAGTGAGAATATGTTGCAAGAACTTCACACTGTTGAGGGAATCAAACCTGTGATCTGAGTGTATGGAATGATAATTTTGTATTGATGATGGCAGGGTGTTTGGATTACATAGAAACATTTTTGGCAGCCTGGCCTGAATTGATCTTCCAGCCTGCAGGACTCAGTAATCTGACAGTAGTCCCACTCTGCCCTCTGCAGTCAGTCACTTTCACTTCTGAGCTGCTAAAGATACCAAAGATAGCACCTACAGTTACTGCTCAGTTTTTATTGCCTCAGTGGACTTGGAGCTACAATTACACGTGTAGGCTGATATTTTATCACTGCAGCTCACCTATCATGTAGCTGATGAAAAGCACAAAGGTCGACTTAAACTCCAGACTGAGAAGTGGACACACATGATTACAGTCGACCAGTGTCAACAGACAAATCATTTTATTTGAGGACTTTGTCCCTGAAGATCTCTGCACACTGAGAGGAGCTGACTCGTTCAGGCACACGACAGGTGAGCTATCAGAACATTACTTTTTATTCTTTAGTTTAATTATTCATCATGTCGGGTCTGCCAACATAAATGGATATATTCTCTTTATCATGGTTATTTTTAATTATTTTAAGTCGTAACTGCACTGCAGTACTGTATTTTAGAGTTAGTGTTAAAATGGGAAGTGAACACCTGCCTCCTGGCTGAAAGTCCAGGGTTTGTTGGATCTATCCACCAACCCTCCGGACCACGCTATAGGGACTTTTTTCTCCTTGTTTTTCTCCTTGTTTTGTGTTGTTTGCTGTATTTCGTGACTGCGGAATGAGAATGGAGTAGTGTCTCTGGGCAGAGAATACTGCTCATTTTAATTAACAATTTTGAAACCTTATTTTACATCCTTTGTGATTTTTAATCATTTAAATTTTGCTGGGTGTCAATGACACATTTTTTCTGTGGTGTGACAAACTCATTACACATACAGTACAGGCCAAAAGTTTGGACACACCTTCTCATTCAATGCGTTTTCTTTATTTTCATGACTATTTACATTGTAGATTCTCACTGAAGGCATCAAAACTATGAATGAACACATGTGGAGTTATGTACTTAACAAAAAAAGGTGAAATAACTGAAAACATGTTTTATATTCTAGTTTCTTCAAAATAGCCACCCTTTGCTCTGATTACTGCTTTGCACACTCTTGGCATTCTCTCCATGAGCTTCAAGAGGTAGTCACCTGAAATGGTTTTCCAACAGTCTTGAAGGAGTTCCCAGAGGTGTTTAGCACTTGTTGGCCCCTTTGCCTTCACTCTGCGGTCCAGCTCACCCCAAACCATCTTGATTGGGTTCAGGTCCGGTGACTGTGGAGGCCAGGTCATCTGCCGCAGCACTCCATCACTCTCCTTCTTGGTCAAATAGCCCTTACACAGCCTGGAGGTGTGTTTGGGGTCATTGTCCTGTTGAAAAATAAATGATCGTCCAACTAAACGCAAACCGGATGGGATGGCATGTCGCTGCAGGATGCTGTGGTAGCCATGCTGGTTCAGTGTGCCTTCAATTTTGAATAAATCCCCAACAGTGTCACCAGCAAAACACCCCCACACCATCACACCTCCTCCTCCATGCTTCACAGTGGGAACCAGGCATGTGGAATCCATCCGTTCACCTTTTCTGCGTCTCACAAAGACACGGCGGTTGGAACCAAAGATCTCAAATTTGGACTCATCAGACCAAAGCACAGATTTCCACTGGTCTAATGTCCATTCCTTGTGTTTCTTGGCCCAAACAAATCTCTTCTGCTTGTTGCCTCTCCTTAGCAGTGGTTTCCTAGCAGCTATTTGACCATGAAGGCCTGATTGGCGCAGTCTCCTCTTAACAGTTGTTCTAGAGATGGGTCTGCTGCTAGAACTCTGTGTGGCATTCATCTGGTCTCTGATCTGAGCTGCTGTTAACTTGCGATTTCTGAGGCTGGTGACTCGGATGAACTTATCCTCAGAAGCAGAGGTGACTCTTGGTCTTCCTTTCCTGGGTCGGTCCTCATGTGTGCCAGTTTCGTTGTAGCGCTTGATGGTTTTTGCGACTCCACTTGGGGACACATTTAAAGTTTTTGCAATTTTCCGGACTGACTGACCTTCATTTCTTAAAGTAATGATGGCCACTCGTTTTTCTTTAGTTAGCTGATTGGTTCTTGCCATAATATGAATTTTAACAGTTGTCCAATAGGGCTGTCGGCTGTGTATTAACCTGACTTCTGCACAACACAACTGATGGTCCCAACCCCATTGATAAAGCAAGAAATTCCACTAATTAACCCTGATAAGGCACACCTGTGAAGTGGAAACCATTTCAGGTGACTACCTCTTGAAGCTCATGGAGAGAATGCCAAGAGTGTGCAAAGCAGTAATCAGAGCAAAGGGTGGCTATTTTGAAGAAACTAGAATATAAAACATGTTTTCAGTTATTTCACCTTTTTTTGTTAAGTACATAACTCCACATGTGTTCATTCATAGTTTTGATGCCTTCAGTGAGAATCTACAATGTAAATAGTCATGAAAATAAAGAAAACGCATTGAATGAGAAGGTGTGTCCAAACTTTTGGCCTTTACTGTATTTATTTTTGTTTTCCCTGGACTTTATAAAATAACATTTTGTTGCTGGTTTACAGAACATCACTTTTCAGAACTCCAGCATGCCTTCAATGAAACATGATCCTGTGACAAGTGAGTACTTTAGTTTACTGTATTTTTCTGTCTCTGCATTGTTGTACCAGCCAAAAATAATTACTGTAGGACAAACATCAGTTAAATGTTTGTTTTACAAGTTTTGATCTCAAACTACCACTAGGAATCACTAAAGTCTAAAAGTTTCACATTCTACACAAAGAGGAAAATATATTTTGATAAATTTTAAACTGATTTAATAATTGTTGATGCTGCCAGATGACTCTGACATTTCTGCTCTTTGTCACTCTCAGGTGCTGTGTTCTCAGCAGATGATATTCCAGCTGAAGATGATCAAACTATTTTAACCTCTGACTGTGCTCCCACTGCTGCAGTTTGTGGCGTGGTTGCACTGGTTGTTTGCAGTTTGATAGTCACTGTCGTCCGGTATAAATGGAGACGTAAGTCACAGCTCCTTGATGGTTACAATATTAACATTTTACTGCAAAACACCATTGTCTGCTGTTTATTTACACTTCCTCTGTGTGTCTCTGTGTTGTTCAATGTCACATCTTTCCTCACAAAAGGGGCCAAAGCTGATTTGCAGAGGAAAATTACATCTCTTCAAAATGAATTACAAAAGAGGGACAGGGAAGAACAGGAGAACATTGCACAGGTGGTTTCCAGCCTACAGGGACTGATAAAGGACCTGGAGGCACAGAGAGATCAAGTCAAAGGAGAACTGAAGAGAGTTGAGGCAGAGAGGGAAGAGAACAAGAGGCAGCTTTGGTTAGTGGAGGCAGAAATAACAGAGAGAGAAAAGCTATTTGACAAACCAGAAGGATTATTGAGAGATAAAGAAAAGCTACTGCAGGATCAGTGGAAACTGGACGAGACAAAGAGGAACATAGAGAGACAGATACTGAACTTAGAGAGAGTGCTGGAGCCAGTGGAGATACAGTTTAGTAGAATGATCAGGAAGAGAGATGTCCAGATATCGATAGATTAGACAAACAGAAGGCAAATTAGAAATTAGAAATCACTTCAAATGCTTTATCCAGCTTATCGTGGAGGAAACAAACAAAAGATTGGATTGTGTTATTAGAGATGTAGAGGAGCTTAAGACCAGCTTAGAATTCACTCAAGATAAGTTGGAAGATATGAGAATGGGACACAAGCAGATGAAAAGAAAGATAAAGTCTTTTGAAAATAACGCCATGAGTTGTAAGCTGGGAGTGTATGAAAGGTTTGCCAAGCTGGACTACAGTGAAAATCAGTACAGGAGAACAAACATTTTAATTGATGGGATTGCTGACGAGAAAGGAGAAACCTGGAGTGACTCAGAGAAGAAGGTTCGACAAATCCTCTCTAGCAACCTGGGACAAGATGGCACAAATATTGATATTGAGCGTGCTCGGAGAATTGGCCTGTACTGGGAGGGGGGTATGCCCAGGAAAAAAGTTGTACAGCTTTTAAAGACAGACAGTGTATCCTTTCCCAAGAAATTAAGGGGCACAAACATCTATATAAATAGAGACTTCTCAGAGGCTGTGCAACGGAGGAGGAAAGAGCTGCTGCCCAACATGAAAGCTGCCAGAGAAAGGGGTGACAAAGCCAGCTTGAAGTTTGACAAGGTGGTTATCAGGCCCAGAGGTGGACAAACACAATCATGAGTTTAAAGCTATTGATGTTTTAGCATTTGATCTTAGAATTTTGCCTCATTTTAATTTTTTCATGCAGTTCTTATTTATTTTATGTGCTCAAATAATAACAGTACATCTTTGCCAAGGAAGGGTTTGGTTTTGGCTCGCTAAATACATGCAGCTTTAGAAACAAGGTTCATGAGATTACCAGAATCTGCTTCTCTGACAATAGTCATGTTTTAGCATTGTCAGAACACACCTGGACGATACTTTTGATGATTTTCAGCTAGCTGATGAAGGATGTAGGATATATAGAAAAGATAGGGACAAATATGGTGGTTGCATTTTATGTTTAGGGCCACATTTCGGCTTTTCTAGGAAAAGATGTGCTCTAAATTTTAACGGCTCATCTTGGGGAGGTAGACTGTACAGCCTAACCCAGCGGGGGAGTGTTATAGCCTAGCAAGACTTCCCTCCATGGGTCTACCTCCTCTGTGATAGTATAGGTATGGTAAAGGAGGTTATTGGGTTGGTGTGGGGAGCAGTGAGACCTGGCATTAGGGGAGTGTCTCTGAGATGCCAGAGATCACTGTCTAGCCTCCTGGAGGTGTCGTGGGACCAACTAGACGAAACACTGGTGAAAGGAGGTTCCCACCTGATGACCCCAAAGACATGTTAATTATCACTGCTCACTGGTCTGTATAGATAAGCCTTGCCATATTAGCTTATCATAGGGCTTAGGAGGTTATTCACTGAGTGCTGATCCTTTCTCTAGAGCACAAACTTCTTCTGTTTATTTGAACTAATGTTTACAACTTGGATAAAATATCTGAAACTCTTGATATGGTGACAGAAGAAAGTAAGGACACCTTCCTTCCTGGGGACCTCAACATTGACTGGTTTTCTTAAAATTGTCCATTATGATGCAATTATTGCTTTGACAGCAGAGGGATATCTTTTGGTGTTCCACAAGGGATTTGTTTGGGACCATTTTTATTTTCAGTTTTTATAAATTATTTGTCAAATGTTGATTGGAAGGCTGATGTTGTAATGTATGCTGATGACACCATTTTGTTCTGTGCATCACCAACGTTAGGAGAGCTGAGTGAGAGTTGCATACCATTACCAGTTGGGTGAAAATGAATACATTAAAACTAAATGCATTGTGTTTGGCAGTAGGAATATTCAAGCTAATGCTACTGCTCTCAGTCTGTCTATAGATGGGATATTAGTTGAGCAGGACACTAAAACTACATTACTGGGTGCTAAATTAGACAACTTATTGTCTTGGTCTTGACCAGATCGATCACATTGTCTCAGTGATGGGAAAGGGTATTGCCATGTCAAGGAAATGTTCTGGTTATGTTCCACCTTCTGTTATGAATGATGTTGTTCAGTCACTAGTTCTGTCACACCCGGAGTACTGCCCAGTCATCTGGTCAAGTGCTGCTCAAAAACACCTTAAAAAGCTTCAAATTGTACAGAACAGGGCAGCCAGATTAGTTATTTATTGTTCTTTCCATGTCAAAGTGTGTGAGATGCATAATCGACTATCTGGGCTCACTGTGGAGGCTAAACTAAAATCTAGTCTTTTGTTATTCATGCATACTGTCATCTTAGAAAATACACCTCAGTTCTTTAGTGATAAACTAGTATATAGTCTAGTCTAGTATAGAAGTCCACAAACAAATTTTATGATGACAACTGTTCTTTATAGAGGCGTCTCAGTTTGGAATTTGCTCCCTACCAGCATTAGATTAGATTAGAAATAGATATTCCTTCAAGACGTCACTAACACTAAAACTGATGAATCTCATGTACGTTTTGTGATGGCAGTTCTGGAACAGTTTTTGTGAATTTTATTTAATTTTATTTTATTTATTTATTCATTTTTACTCGGTGTAGTGAGTGTGTGACAGTTTTGTTTTTCTTCCTCTGTTTTTGTCCTAATTTTGGGTTGATAGTGAATTCCATTGTCTCATTGATATTGTATGGTTTTAAATTGCTGTACTTTTAATGTTGTTTTGTGAGTGGACCCCAGGAAGACTAGCAAAAGAATAAAGAATAATAGGCAACACATTCTCATTCTCAACTTGCCACGTATGACGCGCTAGGTATCCTGGGTGCGTCTGTTGTTGAGGTTTCAGGGCACTGTGTCAATTTAAGCCTTTTACATGCATTGTGGCTTTTCAAAACACAATTCTGTTTTCACAGGAAATGTACAGTTTCTGTTTGTTAGATGCATTTCTTATTTCACTGTCTGACATTAAGCTGAAACTGTGAAAATAATCTCAATTCCCAGAGGGAATGTACTGCCTTAATATGCACATTCAGCACATCCAATGCAACAAAACATTGTTTTCTAGTTGGAGCCGCGCCTCGTTTTCAAACTGTATGGTTTGACTAAAATGAACAATGACAGCAATATAGTCCACGATGAGCAGCGCTAAAATCAACCTGCGTAGTTGTCCCTCCATTGTGACATTAATGACTCAGTGGACTTGGAGCTACAATTACACCTGCAGGTTGATATTTTATGACTGCAGCTCACCTGTCATGCAGCTGATGAAAAGCACAAAGGTCGAGCTAAACTCCAGACTGAGAAGTCGTCCAGAAAAAAGCCTGAAACATTTAGAGTAGTTGGCTGTCAGGAAACAGACTGAGCTGAACATCAACAGTCAGCGTGTACGATTTATTGTTCCATGATAGGACGAAGCACAAAAGCAATCATTCAGTCAACAATGTGAGCACAGTAAATGTTCAGTGAAAACAGACAGAGCTGCAGCAGACAGGAGACATGGTGGACACACCTTTACCTGATTACAGTCGACCAGTGTCAACGGACGAATCATTTTATTCGAGGACTTTGTCCCTGAAGATCTCTGCACACTGAGAGGAGCTGACTCGTTCACGCACACGACAGGTGAGCTATCAGAACATTACTTTTTATTCTTTAGTTTATTCATCATGTCAGGTCTGCCAACATAAATGGATATATTCTCTTTATCATGGTTATTTTTAATTATTTGAGGGGTTTTGTTGCATAAAAAGAAAACAAGATGCATTAAGCTAAGATAAATATTTACTTGTTGAAAACGTGAAGAGACTGGGAACTGCACTGCAGTGCTGTATTTTAGAGTTACAGTGTTAAAATGAGAAATGAACACCTGCCTTCTGGCTGAAAGTCAAGGTTTTCTTGGATCCATTCACCACCCCTCCAAACCACCTTATAGGGACTTTCCTTCTCCTTGTTTTGTGCTGTTAATGGCCGTGTTAAATGATGCCACCCAGCTGCAAAATGTGGCTTTTGGGGTCACGTGTCTGACGCTGAAATCCCTGACAGAATGGCTGTATTTCGTGACTGCGGAATGAGAATGGGGTAGTGTCTCAGCAGAGAATACTGCATTTTCATGATTTTGAAACCTTATTTTACATCCTTGGCATTTTTTTTAATCATTAACCATTTTTTAATCAAAATTTTCTGTGGTGTGACAAACTCATTACACATATTTATTTTTGTTTTCCCCTGGACTTTATACAATAACATTTTGTTGCTGGTTTACAGAACATCACTCACAACTCCAGCATGCCTTCAATGAAACATGATCCTGTGACAAGTGAGTACTTTAGTTTACTGTATTTTTCTGTCTCTGCATTGTTGTACCAGCCAAAATAATAAAGACGAACATTAGTTAAATGTTTGTTTTACAAGTTTTGATCTCAAACTACCACTAGGAATCACTAAAAGGGCCAGTGTGTAAAAATGGTGAGTAACAGTGACATCAGTGGTCAAAATCAAGATTGCAGGGCTCACTCGCGCTCACTTGCTCAACCCTCCCGTCGGGTAAGTGATGGTGGCCTTTTTCAGGTTTTCAGGAGTAGGCCTATCTAGCGACGAGGTGAATATTTATTTAGGAATCTAAACCATGTTACGATATTGTAGCGACCCTGCAGTGAATGTTCTGTGAGTTAATGGCATGTTTGGGATTGAATGAGTATAGGTAGGGGGGCGGGGTGCGAGTGTGACGGAGATGAGAGCTGTGAGAGCGGGTGCTGGTGTGTGTATGAACGAGCTGGAGGAGAGAGTAGGAGTGCACAGTTGGAGTTACAGCTAAGTTCTTGTTTGTTGGTTGTTTTGGCGTTGTTACGGCCAACAGTAACCTGTACTGTTCAGTAATAAACGGTGGTTTGCAGAATAACTGTGTCATCCTTTCCACACGTCCTGGGGGGCGCTACAATATGTTATAGCTTACCAGTGAGATGTAGGTTATCTGTGATATATAACGTTATGTTAGGAGTGTTTTATTTCTAATTGTTTTGGTAACACAAGCAAACATTAGCACAGTTATGCTAAAATAACACGTTTTATGTGATAGTCACGGCACAGTGCTGCAAATACAGGTTGGTACGATTATAATATATGCGTCTCCAGAGTGTTCTTCCACAGGACACAGGGAGATGAGGAAGAGGGAGAGGGAGAGGAGGAAGACCAGGGAGAGGAAGGGGGCGAGGGGGTAGAGACGGTGCAGGAACCCTTACCTAACCCTTACCTGTCCAGCAGAAAACATGCCACTTCAGCGTCGGATTGAAGCCCTTTGTCCTTCATGAACCCCCTCCATCGCTGAAAAACATCACCGATGTTTATTCTCTGCCGCCTCTTGTCCCATTTTCTTTGCCCCTCTTTGCGTCTTCTTTTCCTCACAGATGATGGTTCGGGTTCATTCTCTCCTGTTGCATGGTAAGTGTGGTCCATTCGCAAACTTTATAACTAAAAAAACTTTTCACTACTCTCTATCTACGAACTACTAACACTCTCTGCTGTTTCCTCCTCCTTCTTCCTTCCTTCCGCTGTCTTCGTTGGTTCATTTATACACGCGGCGCAAGATGGCGATCTCTCTAAAGTAAGGCCCTTGCTATATATATATATATACAGTACAGGCCAAAAGTTTGGACACACCTTCTCATTCAATGCATTTTCTTTATTTTCATGACTATTTACATTGTAGATTCTCACTGAAGGCATCAAAACTATGAATGAACACATGTGGAGTTATGTACTTAACAAAAAAAGGTGAAATAACTGAAAACATGTTTTATATTCTAGTTTCTTCAAAATAGCCACCCTTTGCTCTGATTACTGCTTTGCACACTCTTGGCATTCTCTCCATGAGCTTCAAGAGGTAGTCACCTGAAATGGTTTTCCAACAGTCTTGAAGGAGTTCCCAGAGGTGTTTAGCACTTGTTGGCCCCTTTGCCTTCACTCTGCGGTCCAGCTCACCCCAAACCATCTC